ACTCGACACGATCTTAGTCCCCACTTCCAGTGCGAGATAAACAAAAAATTGGTTCATTTTTGGACTTTTTGCCAAATCCCAGCTTCGTCTCGCCAGGGGCTTTGTACCTCGTTCTCCATTTGTGTTCCATCAGCTTCTCTGCTTTTGAAACTAAACGTGATTTCTTTTCGTGGAGATAAAATCTAGTTTCCGGGAATAAATTTGGGCGAAGCCACACCCGATGCCAAAACACGTAACAGAAATAGAGCAGTCAGTAATGGGGAATTATAGAGGGCGCTCTTCACACCTGCGGCTCGGCAGCACTGATCTCTAATATAGATAATCAGTACTCGGCAGCGGAAAGCATAAGGTTGCGCAATGCTTATTGCGTACTGAAAACGACTCAAAAGTGGAGAGAAGGAGCACTGCCTGGTGATACACAGGAAGTTAGTCTTGTGTGTTTCACTGGAAATTAAAGGATTGATAGATCGATAGGGCAATTTCTTTCTCCATTTCACAAGCGTTGCCCACCCCAATTTGTCTTAATAATCTCCTCCCCCAAAAAGTACCGCAACATAACACTCAAACTCCGGGCCCAACTCTGAATGTAGCCACCTGCCTAAATGCAAGTTGAAGTGTGAACGACTTATTACCAAAGGTTAGAAGCCACAAGTCCCAAACTGCTGATTTGTAGAAACGGTTTCTGCAGTCTGTCCAGACTTGGGCACCTCTTATTGTAAACAACCCGTGGGATCACAAAAACACGTAGGAATATGTCTTTGGTGGAATGCATACACAGCGGCCTTTGGAAGGAAATAACCCCCCCCCCCAGGTTTACATCATTGTGTTCGTGGATAGGAATATTGTAAAGCAATTAATAAAACTCCATAATATCCAATGATTCCGAGTTACCATGTCAGAGACGTCATTCCAAGCTCGACTAAACTTCGCCCACATCAAAGCGATGTTCAAAATTAATATTTTTCACTATCCTGGTCTTGCTTATCTAATTAATTAAAATACACATGGCCATGGCATTACTGAAAATAACCCCTGTCATGGTCGATGGCCACATTGATTGATAAACAGCGTGTTACTTAAAGTCTTGGGGTGCTTCCAATTTGCTAATACAAGTTTGCAAAATATCAAGTGAGTGATTCTTTTCATTTCATTTTTTTACTAGTTTCATTTCATTTTCTTATTATTCGTCTAAAATCGCGGGCCTTTGGCCTATTTGTTGACGACAAACTCCACTTAAAATCGCAATACATTCACATGAAAAATTACCGAAAATACAAAAAAATACACTTTCACAACATCATGAAGTCCAACATCAAGTCCAACATACAAGACAAGATATACAGGAATTACTTTTCCATTGTTCCGTTCACTCATAACATTTGGCATTGACGATTTATTTTTGTGTCAGTGGATGTTGTCGTTACAGAGGTTGGGGAAATTTTCTTAGAATTTGCTTTTTCAAATTAGTTGCGGAGATATATTTATATTAAAAAAAGAGAATTTCGCTGCTTCTTCCTACTTTGAAGTAACAAAGGCCGTTTGACTTTGCTTCAACTCTGGTGACGTCATCATGTCATAAAGCCAGAAGATTATATAAGGTTAGTAAAGTCTTTGAAGGCATTTCTGTGATAATTGTTGGTGACATAATAACGTCACGAAGGTGTTAAAGCAAGTCAAAACGCCTTCTTATTTCAAAACACGAGGAAACAGCGATTTTTTTCCTACCTGTGATTATTAGCATCGTCCTACAAACTTAGGTGTGTCATGCACTGCCTCCTGCAATTTAATCATGAAAGAGAAATAAAACTTGCTACCGAATACGGGCGTTTACAAGAATGCGCCTCCAAGAGTTTGCAACGAGTCGGCCAATAACGGTGCGCTAAATCTGTCTACTCTTTCCAAACGACGCACTGTGATTGGTCAACACGTTGCGAAGTCTTAAAAAAGCGCACTATATGTTCTTGATGAAAAAGTTCTCTTCATTATACTATCTGAGACATTTGCTTTTGGACGTTTGACATTTGTTTTAAAGGAACAAACAAACATTGGAAAAATGAGTGCGTGCTAGTCAACACGTAACGAAGGACTTTATAAGGTGGTTGCCCCGGTTATAGAACGCACTCTTACGTGACTACAGTAGAGCAATAAAGGTTTTCTCTGGAGGAGGCGAACATCGTAAAACATTATAGAAAAAATTACTAGGTCCTTGCCATCCGATCGAGAAGCTGTTTGGACATCCGCTTTCATAAATTACTACTTATATCGGTTTGTCTTCGATGGTTTTGGCGGTGACTGCTCATACTGTAATCAGGATTGTGCATCAGTAGCCTCTTTTCTTTTGTGTCTGTGTGCCAATCTGGGACAAGGGAGGGCTCTTTGTAAAACCGTTTAAGAGCCCTTTATCTAGAATTTTGGGCGAATGGAACCCAGGGCTGCTCCATTTTGGAGTGACTTGCTTTACCATTGACATCAACTTTTGATTTTTCGATGGGGTTGCTACTGTAAAGCCATTCATTCTTGGGGGACAATTTCTCCTAAATGTCGCCAGAATTACCCCACAAAAACTGACCAGAAAATGAAATATTGACGAAATTAGCTTTCTTTTTATGTAATAGGTCACCATACCCTTGATAGTTGTATTTTCCTGATTGAAAGAGAGAATGTCTCTGTTAGTGGCAGTCTGCTTACTGGCCTAGATCAGCAGCAGAATGACTGTTATCAGAGTTAAACTTAATTTTAAGAGGCTTAAATAAAAGTTAAGCCAGTAGTGCCAACTTCAGACTTTTGAACCAAAATGGCTGTTTATTATGTCTGCATGCTGTGGCAGGTAAACATTGTGGAAGTGTCCGTGTGCCTGAAGCATAATCCACCATTTTGGTTGAAACAATCGAGACACCCATGTCGCAACTCTGCTCTGTTAAATGTGAATTGCACCCTCTCTTGATTTACTAGATGCAGGAAAAATCCAGGGACCTTTCTTTTGCTATTGTCATAAGCCCTGAAATACCCAATCACGATTGGCAAAACTATGTCTGGCCAGAAGAACAAAAGAAAAAGAAATGACTTATAAACTGTTGAAAAGATTTATTATGTTTATATTAAAACTTTAAATAGTAAATACCTGTATCAACTGCTCAACGAAAATGCCTTTAGGACTGAACTGCTGCCAACCAAGACTGCATTTTCGGCAAACTTTGGTAATTCATTTAAAAGGTTTGTACAAAGTTTGTTGAAACAAATCCTTACAGAATTGTAGGCCGTGTCTGCATTATTTGACTGCGGACTGAAACTACACACGGCTCGAGGGCAGCCACAATGAGTGATTTTCAAGCTGTGGTCAAGTAATTCAAGTCATAGTTTGAGAAAAATTGTTAATTGTGAATGGCGCCCTCTCTCTAAAATATGACGGTTGAAAGCTCCAATTGAAAGTAACTGTTTTAACATGCAGTTTTTACTTTCAAGATTACAGTTTAATTTACTACACATAACAAAATGAACAACAAATGCAAATCAAGATTGATAAATGCAACATAAGTATTCATTTGGTTATACATTACCAACATACATGCAATATCTGACTTACACGTGTAAGCCTCGAATGTAAGTCCAAAAACACTTTACTTGGCCTAGCACTTAGTAATAATGACATGCGGCTTCCAGAAGGCATACATGTGCATGTACACCGTGGTGTGTCAAAGCCTAGTTCTCTTGTCATTTTTGGAAATTTTTGCCAATAAATCAATACGAAAAATAAGTAATTATCCCACAAATAAATTACATAAACATGTCCTTGAAATGTTTAACAATCGAATACAAGATGTAGATTTCCAAAAAACTTACGGCTTTGGGCTGTCCTAAAGGAACAATTATTGTCAGCATGACAAAAGTTGAAAAAGTTGACGTTGTTAATGCTGCGTTCCAATCGCGTCGTGTTTATCGTGTTCATGAGTTCATTAGTCGTGAACAAGAGTTCCAATCACCGGGTAACTCGTTTTCATCAGTCGTGAAGTGGCGACAGAATATTTTTCTCCAGTTCACCACTTGACAAAAATTACTTGCTCTGATACGCAATACCGCCCTCTTTTGATGAACATATACATGTACATGAAAGAAAAGCGTTGATATACATGTACATGTGTATCTCAGTGCAATTCTTCAACTTGTACCGTGGCCTGGTCAATTTTTTTCTTTAAAAAAAATGCTTATATAAAGACGCAGCAAGAAACAGGTTTTTCTGCAGTTGTAATCGTATTCATATTTGCAACTTCATTTTGTCAAGTTTTTAAAGTCAATTATTTTTGTTTACTGGTTGTATTTTGGTCATGCGCTACATCAAAAGAAAGCAAACCAAGAGTAGGCCTATTTAAATTAAAGATTCAATTTATAAACTTTAAATCAATTACCATTCGTTAAATAGATTGCTGTAGAGAATTGTCTCGTCCAAAGACTAATTATGAATCTGAAAATGAAATCTGAGGATTCACTTTGCTCTGTCTAGTCCCAAACAGCATTGGTGAGCTTGTATCGAACAAGAAATGCGACACTGAATTTAAATTCACAACAGCTATAATAAGATCATGATTTTTCATTATAATATAACGGTAAATTGCCCTCGATAGTGTTCAAGCATACAAGCGCCCTCGGCGTTGCGTATCATTTGTCTCAGAGGACAATGATTCGGGTCAGAAGGAGGTCAGATTAAAATGACCTATGCAAAAATATTTCAGACAAAGAGTTAGTACATTAGGGGTATAATAAGACCATACTGTATTGGGGGTGCGCACCTCTCTTGTTCGGAAAGCAAAAGTAAACAACTGTATTCAAGCTTCGCGCGCGAGCTTGTCGCTGGTGGTCTTCGTTTGTGTGTGCGCATTAAAACGCGTGCAAACGTAGCGTTTGTACACCAGCTAGGTCATTTTGTAGCCTCATAAATATTCAACCACTTTGGCAATCCACCCTCATGATTGGTTAAAATTACCTTGACCCGGGGTCAACATTCAGCTGAGCGGCTTAGGAATGACAGATTTCTTTCTTCCGCTGTTCTCAATTTTGGCGCTTGATTTGAGACCTCCGCCGGGTGAACTTCGTCAGTGGAAACTTTCCAACTTTTCTAGTTGTTTTTTCTCCCTTAAACTCCACCATGTATGTGATAAAGAGAGGTAAGCATTTGCCAGACTACAATGGCCGGGAATGTTGTGAAATAAAACACCGGCAGGCAGGTTTAGCATGTTCAGACACTATTCCTGGCCCAACATGATTGAATTTTTTGAAGTTAGGATTTTCCCTCCAATTTCGTTGGCGTGGCACAATGGAAAGCCAAACGTTTATGACTTGTATTTTTCTTCATTTCCTTTTTTTTTAGATGGTCGGAAGGAGAAGGTGATGTTTGATAAGATCACATCACGGATCTGCAAGCTTAATTACCAACTCAATGCTGATTTCGTAGACCCGGTAAGCTGGAATAGACCAGGAGTAACGGCCCACAGTAGCCCAGCCAGTGGACCGGTCATGCCAGTGGACGTTGTCTACATTGCATTGCGACTTACGTCCAGGGTGTAATTTGTAAAGTCCCCCTACCATAGTGAAAGTTTTTTTAATGTTTTTTTCCAGTGGAGGCAGCTCGAATGTCGTAATATCCCGAATTCCATAGAAGCTGTGTTGTAATTACTAACCTATGTCCGCGGACAATGTAGCTTTGTGGGAAATTTAGTGCAACTTCATGTTCTCTGTTGTGAACAATTTACATTGGTCTAGTACCTATTTGTAGGCCTTACGTGTTTGCACACACGTGAAATGCATAGCAACCGACTACCCCTTATGCATGCACGGAAGAGCTGTGGGCGTGAAGATGTCGCAGATAAGGCTGTGTCCAAAACGGGCTTCCAAAGCTACAGCTAGGTCTATTGTCTACGCATCTCCATGCATTTCCAATGGAGTGAATACCTTGACCTAGCTCTAGACCACATAACTGGCAGAATGTGGCCAGAGCTTTATTGCAATGATGGCCTTTTTGCGCATGCGTAAATGCGTACTGCTAGACCAACGTAGATTGACCAACGGAAAGCGTGAGTTGTGCTAAATTTCCTGCAAAATACATTGTTCACTTGCGCACGTATTTAGTACTCTCAACACAGCATTTATGAAATTTGGGATACAAGGCACTTGTGAATGACACTTGAGCTGCCTCCGCCAGGTAAAAGTCAGAAAAAAAGGTCCAAAAATATTTCGCATTGTAGGACTTTATACCGCAGATGTCAGTGGTAGTGTAAATGAACATGATGAAGCCAACGTCCAACCTGACCTAGGCTGGGGCCTAACGTTATGTGGGCAGGCGGGAATTCGATCATTGTAATTTGTATTCGTCATGTTTGTGATCATTACGCACACTTATCAGCTCACGTAGGTAGGCCTACATGTATGTCACTCAGACTTGTGTCTTTTGGAAAGAGTTCCATGTATGGACACCTCTTGACACCCTGTGCACAAACCATAGGCCTGTGATGAGACTGGTCTGACATGTCTGAAAAATTCTAACATCTCTAAGCCAAAGAGTTTTGGTTTTGTAATTAACTGTAAGGCCTAACCTAAACGACTTCATTTTTCTCCTCCTTAACAAAACTTTTTGATGTGCGCAATGCATTATGGGTTGGGGACAAACAAGCAATCAATTTTATGCACAACTCAATGGGAGAAGTGTACCCACAAAACATTCATCTGCTTCCATTTTATTACATATTCCAATGCAAGCCATTCTCTTCTAAAAGAGTGTTGCATTTTAGATTCGGGATTTAGATATTCACAAATTTGGTAGGCAGGTGAGGATGATACTAGGGAAGGGAATCAGGACATAAGAAACTTTTTTCCCCCTAAAGACAGTGGTACCATTCGGCCTGAGGTGTTGATGGTGCAGTTTCATACCGAGCATGTACCAGTATGCACATGTTATAATAAGAATTTGGATTACCTGTATTGCGAACATTGGTTTTTATGCCTATGCTGCAGGTGCCCTGTGGAAGTACATACATCATCAAAGGCTGTACGTTTGATTTATAATTTGGCATGCAAAGCAAATAATAATTCAAAACTGTTTTTCATTAAAATATGTTACTTTCCACATACTGAAAACTCCCATACTACATGTACAATGTAAACATGCTGTGTTGTGCATTGCACATCAAATAAAAATAGTGTTTTCGTAGCCAATTGGCTCTGCGAAAGAAATTACGGACTTTTTCTGAAAATTACTGATTTTTAGAGTTGAGATTGCTGAAATGCTCCGAAAGAACTTGGCAGCTCTGCAGATAGACTTATTTATCCTTTCATCTATTCGTGTTTTAAAATTGAATTCCAGGATAAAAAAATAAATTAAAAAAATATTTTGCTTGCTCTTTTGTGATCCTTGGTTCTGGAGGATTTTCTCAGGAAAAAAAAAAATCTGAAATTGCACCCTGACTTCCATCCGTGAATATGGAATTATTGTGTCTGTGTAAGCATGGAACCAGATGAAAATTTGGTGCGGTAAAGTTTCCGAGTCCCTCAAAACATGCTTAGCGCATAATGTGCAGTTGCCGTGCCATGTAAAATTTCCACCATGTGTCCACTGCCATTTTCAAACATTCAAAAAAATTTGACACCTCCGTATCTACTTCTAGGCAGGTTATAGGATCTCGTGAAATTGGGGACCAGTAGGGATTAGCTGTCCAAATTTACTTGGAGTTGAAAAACGGTGCAAGGCTACTGACATTCTGTGCTTTGACCACAGATAGGATTGTCAGGAATGATTATTGGATCTACAGTATGGAATTGCTTAGTCACATTATACTATCGCTTAAGCTGGATCAGCCTGTAAGAATCTGTCCCTTCTTTGAAGACTTCTTCCCTAGCCATGAATAAGAAAATTTGATTGATTGATGGTATCAGGGTCAAAAGTTGCCAAAATTATTGGTTTTCTCATTCTTTTTATTTTCATCTTGGATGACATCAGACTCAGATCACCATGAAGGTGATCAGTGGTGTCTACCCTGGCGTGACCACCGTCGAACTGGACACACTCGCAGCAGAGACAGCAGCCACCATGACGACCAAGCATCCCGACTATGCCATCCTCGCGGCCCGCATCGCCGTCTCTAATTTGCACAAGGAGACCAAAAAAGTGTTTTCTGGTAAGGTGTTCTGTTTGGAATCTTGCGTGGAAAATGAAGGCTGAAGATACATGTATCTCACCATTTTCGTTTGTTTGGGCCTGCCTTGTTAGTGTTCTAAATCCCTGTTCATGAGCAGGTTGAAGCTCACGTGCATGGTTGGGATTTTGTAAAAGTACTGAACTATTCAGTGCACTGCATTTAAATTAGAGAGAGACAGTGTTTTGTTTTCTTAACATCTGCCAGTTGAGCTTCTCTATGAAACCAACCACGTTTCCCCAAAGGGTGCTGACAATGATGCAGTGGCATCGAACAATACAGGCTATTACCTATAGTGCGCCTCTAAGAGTCTGCAACGCGTCAGCCAATCACAACGCGCGAAATCTGTCGACCCTTTCCAAACGCGCATTGCGTTGACAGATTTCGCGCACTGTGATTGGTCAACGTGTTGCAAACTCTTGGGGGCGCACTATTATGAAACGCCTGTATTGAAGTGTGTGCAGTGAACAGGTGTGTTGCTGACCATGTGGACAAGGTCGAAAAATAAGTTCCTGTCAGGAGAAACAAGTACTCTCGTACATATCCTTGCTATAAACCCTTTTTTCATTGTGTGGCCTTTGTTTGGCCAATCTGCAAGCAAAGTATTCCACAGTTAGATTTTTCTGATTCCTTTGATTCCTGTCTTGTTTTTAACTGTTAGGTGGCAAAATAGCCACAAGAGGTGGGGCGGTCATTACAATTAGTGAGTTAGGCCACTACATGAATAACAACGTGAAACAAACTGAGCAAAAGGGTCTATACAGGCAAGACCAGGGCCAAATCTAGAGCTAGGTCTGGGTCTTCTCTCCATTGGAAACAGGCAGAGACAGAGGAGGGTGATGTAGGCTGGTTCCCTGACTTCAATCACTTCAGCTTATATAGAGCATGGAGCGTTGAGGTACTTTGACTTACATAGTCTGTTTGTTACATTTTTGAGAATTTCTGGGTCTATTCTTCACATGCAGATGTCATGACAGACTTGTACAACTACATCAATCCGAAAAACAAGAAACACTCCCCGCTGATTTCGAAAGAGACCTACAAGATCATCATGGAAAACAAAGATGTGAGTTCCCCATTAAGAATCCAACTGTTCTTTTTTTTTATTAACCCTAGGGTGATTTACTTGCAACCTTCCACATCCTTGCAAATCTCAACATCATACATATAGTAAATGGTGCAACATAAACTGTCAGACTCTTTGTTTGTTCATCTGTGGTATGCCTCATCCCACATAAACACAACCAGTGTAGATCTCTCTCATTGGACGCCATCTTTGTAGGAGAATTGCAACCGCGTATGTAACACAAACAAGTGCGTGTGCGCGCGGTGTGCAAAATGATTGAAACTCGCATATGTGCTGATCAAAATATGTTGGAAATATGGCGCTACCGATGCTTATCAGGAAAATTGAAGTAAAAAATGCCGATGCGTGTTGCAATCTGTACAAAGTGACGTCATTTGAGAGATACCTACATTGTACATATATATCAGTGCAGTACTCATGCTGACTGATTCCAACAAACTCAGGTGCTGGAGTTGGGCTGGCTTGGGATCGTTAGGGTCAATCCATTGGTTCCTGTATTGCCTGAAATCATCCTGCTTGTAGTCATCCACCGCAGGGTTTTACTAGAATTGTAATTTCTGTCCGTCCCCCTCCAGTCAATCAAAAAAAACCTGCCTGTCCTCTCCCAGGACAATTGTTGAAATTGACACCCCTCTGAACCCAGTGTATGGAAGGAGATGAAAAGACTCATTTAACAGTGTAAAAAAAGATTTGTTTTAAAAAAATGGTGGGGGGGTTATAAATTGTGAACAAACCAAAACTGCCCGTCCAAATTTGCTTTTGCTTGTAGGTCAGTTGGCTAGTTGCGACACTGACCTTTTTTACCGTATTTGACTTTTCCTCACATCAGCTGTATTTCCTAATTGGTCACTTTCTGCATGAGCCGTTACAAATTGCAAAAAAAAAAAAAACTGCAGAAAGTCTTGTGCAGTTGGGAATTTCCTTGAAATCATTTTCTGAATTGCTTGCTTGAATATGCCTCCGCACTGGGTGTTAATGGTTCACATTAGGGGAAAAGAACCGTGTAAATGTTTCACAAGAGGTCATGGGTTGAATTATACAATACCTGCTTAAATCCCTGTCATCTGATTGGTGGATCATTGATCACATTTCACTGATTTTCTTCAACAGTACTTGTTAAATGGAACTTCATTTGACTGGTATTTATCCACATTTCTTATACAGAGCATGGATAATTGTAGAGCCAATGATTTTCCCTTTCAAAAATGGGTATTTTTTGTTTTGCCAAATCCCGGATTCTGCTTCAGAAATTCAAATTCCGTTTCATACTATCGTAAGCATTAAATAGGAGAGCAAGTTTTAATATATGCATGGAAACCATTTACCCAACCACATCCCCCCCCCAAAAGAAGAAAAGAAACAAAAATAACAACAATATTGTTTGGAAATACTGTGCAATGTTTCCAACTTTTTAAAAAATTCCTGTAGTGAATATTAATTGATTTCCCACCGGTGCGCAATCGCCAAAAACTTGCTACGATTAATTAACGACCAATTCATGTGCCACTCCTCGTGTATGAAATCAGATTACATACATGCACAGTGAAGTCACAGAGTAAGTCTTGCCATGTAACAGTCATTGATCACAATATGTTAACCTTAACACTCCTCAGTCCTCCAACAGGTGAAGGATTGAGGATGGTTAGGGTTAATGTTAGACATTGACCCGCCATTTTCTTTGGCAGGAGTGCGACAAACTTCAGAAAGTTAACATTAAATCTGAGCTCTAAAATGTTTGTGACTCAAAACTTCACTCTTTATTGAACACTTCTGAGGGCCCATTAAGCTATGGTACACCAAACTTACTAGGTTTCATTTAATTCAAGAAATATGGAATTAGTCTTCTGTTTTGCTGCTGCGGTTTCATCGTTTCGCCATGCGGTACTAGCCTTGTCTCAAGGCGTCCATGCGGATTCACAGACTAAATTCCCCACGTGTGCAATAGTCATATGTGAGTAAGAACTTGTTTGCACCTTGATTTCATTGCTAGTACGGTGCGCGTGTGAACGGCTAATGTGTGTACAGTGTGTATACACAATGTACCATACAGCTGTGCCGGCTGCTGCTGCATGCATGGGGCTCACGCACACCATAGCGCTTACAAGTATCGGCACCGGTGTGGCACGGACGATCCAATCATGTGGTGGAGTGGTGCAATTTAGCATGTTTCCAGCGTAATTTGTTCATTAAAAGCAAGCTTTTGAAAAGGGTTTTGTAGACATTTATTTTTCAATCCTTTGCAGAAAGGTTTCTTTACTTTTTAAGCCATTCTTAGATTGAAAATTTGCAAGCTGTGATTCAAGCAGTGGATTCCATTCCAAAGTGTTGATTCCGTGAATTCCATCCGTTTTCCACCATCGCGGAAAATCACTGGCTCTATAATTGGAGGAATTTGAAGGATGGAAAGGGTGCCAGGCAAAAAGGCCTTGAGTTTAGGGTGAAATGAATTGTCGTTATACTGAATCATTAAACACTGGTTTTCTGACTAAACAGAAGCTGAATTCTGCCATCATCTACGATCGCGACTACGACTACCAGTATTTCGGATTCAAGGTATGTTCCTGCCGTTTTTAAGCTTTCCCCCCCACCATTTGTCTCTGGGCCTTCGTTATTTCTTTGCCAATGTACATTCTGACGTCCATTTCTCTCACTGATCAGGTTCTTGGAAAGGAAAAGTATTGGCAGCCGTTCCTTGCAGCTACCAAGTCATGTAGTTGTGATTTTATGCTGTCATAGAGCAAGTCATTCTGAGCTCTGGGCTCTGAGTGGCATCGAACCACTTCACTCTTTGTGGCTGTCTGCCGTGCCGCACTTGATTTTGCAGGTTCGCACAGTTTCCACATCTTAAGTTGTCAGCCTCATAGAGTGGAGACCCCGAGGGCAAAAAACTTGCAAGAGTTTGGGCACAGTCATGCTAACTTTGTTCACTGTCAGGTGACAAAATTCTCCACAATTTTTATGAAGCAAAGACAAGGTGGTTACTATTTCGACTTGAAAGTTTGAGGTCTCAATCAAAAACCGATTCTCCTTCAATATTTTCCGTCACATCTTTTTTTTTTTCCAGACCCTGGAACGATCATACCTTTTGAAACTTGACGGAAAAAGTAAGTATTTTGTGGAAGATTTTGCCTTCTCCCATCTGAGAGGGAAAAACTCATGTTAGCATTCTCAGAAAAAAGTGAATCTCTTTTTAATTTGTGCGATAGGGATTATTGTCTGCAGGTGCCCAACATTTCCTGTAAATTTTCGAGCATTAGAAGCATGTGTGTTCATAAAATGTAGCTCATTTCTTTTTTGTTCTTTCGTCTCTCATTGATATCTGCACCAGTCTGTATATTAGGGGCCAATTTCATAGAGCTGCTTATGGACAAAATTTGCTTAAGCGCAAAAAACCTTGTTTAAAAAACAAAGGTTACAAGCTCAAAATCTACGTGATTGTCATGCTAACCAAAAGACAGGTGAATACCATTCCAAAACAATATACATCACATAGAGTTTTGGCTGGTAACCTAATTGATTAAGTAAGGTTTTCTGACGTTTAAGTAAATTTTGTGCTTAAGCAGCTCTTGCCTTTATAAAACTGGCCCCAGATTTGAAACAGCAATTTCTGGTGCATTTGATATTGAAAATATTTAAAAAAGTTTGCCCCAGTGAGGATGTCACCAGTTTGTATTTGCCTGTGTTCATAATTTTCTTGTATGCTCTTACAAAACACCTGTTTTTTTTGTTGTTTTTTTAATTCCACGGCAACGTAGAAATTCCATATCATTGCAAATGCCGCAACTGGTCATGTCTGACGCACTACAATTTTTAAGGAATGTTGCATGCGTGTTGGCTTTTGGAAATTTGACTAACATATCCTAGACTTCATCAAGCGGTGGTGTTTTGGTGCATTGCAGTCGCTGAGCGGCCCCAGCACATGTTGATGAGAGTAGCGGTTGGTATCCACGAAGAGGACATTGACGCTGCGATTGAGGTGAGAATCAATGTCTGATCTGTAGTGGTGACCCCAGATGAGTCCAGGCTTCTTTACAGGACTCTCTGCTGATAAATGTGGATGGTAATTTGTCAAACCTCATTTAAGCTGTTCTGAGTCTATAGTCTGCATGTTATAGGTGCAGCCGGACCGTTTGTAATCGGACATGAGCTGACTTGCAAACCTTTTTATACCCAAATGGGATGATACTCCAGTTTTTGTGACCCACTCTGTGAAAATGAGTCTTAAGTCACCAGAGCCACTTTTTGAGTTTTCATTTGTATTGGAAAGTACAAATTGAGATTTTTGTTTTGATGTATCACTCAGGTTGGCATCCTGATGAAAGTGGATACTCCACGGTGAAAAATGCTGTGGGTTCCTATTGATTTACATTGTGCAAAAACTGGCGTTTTACTCCAAAGTGACTCTGGCAAGTTAAGACTCATTTCCACAGAGTGGGTTACATATTTCCAAGCAGATACATGCTCTCACTCGGAGCCCTTCTCAGTCTTTTTCTGGCTATCAAATACATGCACACTTTGGAATACTGCTGTTTGTATTTTTACTCTCATTGCTAATTTGAAGACATCTGCCAGTGGAACAAGAGCTAATCCTTTGATGGCTGGGTGTTACTCACCAGCAGTCGGCACTTGGTACTCACTAGAATTAGTCGTCCGTGTCTGTTTCCTCATTCACTGAATGTAGTGTTTGCATAAACGTGCCGGGGGAAGTCCAGGAAAAGGTCCCCTTTTTGTCCCACATTCAGCGCCACGTTCTCTTTACACAATCACCACAAACACTAGTAATGTCAAAATTGCTGTTGATGTTCACCAACACCAAAATGAGAAGCACTGAAATCCATGTGTTACTTTAAAAAAAAATAATCTGTTATGTATGGAACCCCATGCGGGAGATTGTGGATGTGCCCTGTAGGGCTGAGTCAATTCAAGTAATTCACTATTAGAATATTGGACCTTCAATTCCATCAAATATCCAAATATTCAGTTGTACTGACCGGCAGATTGCTGATGAACAAACCATTTACAAAATCAGTTACGTTAGTGCACACAATTGTATATTATCTTCACTATTTTCACTTCTCAGAGTATCTCCAGCCACGATTTAGCAAGATTTAACAGACAAACAATACTTCTTGCTCCGTTGAAAACTTCTATTCCTTTTAAATTTTTTGATGAATAATTTATTTTTTGAATCGTACATATTATGGAATATGCTGTAAACAAGTCTTCATAGTGCTATTTTTCTCATTCAAAACTAAAGAAATTCTCCTGTTTCATGAATTTAGCATTCAAATATTCAAATTCGGACAATAACATTGAATATTCGATAATCGATCGGATATTTGGCACTGCCCTGCTGCCCTCTACAGTTACGGTACATCAGACCTTGATTATGGATGTTTGATATTTTGTTGTGGTTTTTTTTTTTTTTTTTTTTTTTTGGTCCCCATTGCAGACCTACGAGCTCTTGTCAGAGAAGTGGTTCACCCATGCATCGCCCACGCTGTTCAACGCTGGGACCTGCCGACCACAACTCTCTAGGTACATTTGGACGTGGCCTAGTGCCTCAGCATCTATCACTCACGGAAGTGCTATTGCATTGTTGTGAAGGTTGCCAAAGCTTAACACTGTATGCTGTATTGACATGCAGGCTGTATTTTTATTCAAATCTGAGATATGAAATGCCAGCCAGTACACAGTATAATTCTGCTCTCAAGATTTTGTAGAAGATTTGTAGTTTGTAGAAGATTGATTCGTTTGGGTGAGAGTCTTCAGAATTCAACGGATAATCTTGTCTCACTTGGCATGCTAGCTGTTTCCTGCTGACAATGAGCGACGATAGCATTGAGGGGATCTACGACACCCTGAAGCAGTGCGCGCTGATCTCCAAGACGGCCGGAGGCATTGGCGTCAACGTGCACAAGATCCGAGCCACTGGAAGCTACATCGCCGGGGTAAGATGGTTGGGGGGGGGACTCTAATGTCAAAAAGCAGACAGAAAAAACCTGGCCATGTCTCAAAGTCTTGCCCGTGGCTGGGGATAGCACATGCACCTATGGTAGCTGTTGGTGTTGCAGGCCTGGAAATTAACGGGCGCAGGTAGCTAAAATGCACCTGTTTGTCTCAGAAATGCACCCATAAATTATAATGACCGGCACAAGTACTTGCACTGCTCCTGCTTATATGGCGAGAATTTCCTATGGGAATTTGCCATGTTATGAATGAAAGCAGACTGGTCCTGCATAAAGGCATTACTTCCGTTCCAATCCAAGACTGTGTCCTTCGTGGCTGAACGTTATAACTTGAATATTTATGTTTGTTTGACTTTTGCAGACTAACGGCCAGTCCAACGGACTGCTGCCCATGCTACGTGTTTACAACAACACTGCCCGCTATGTGGATCAAGGAGGGAACAAGGTGAGAACACAGGTCAAAGGTCAGAAGAGAAGCAAACAATGGAATTTTGGCATAGTCTGCTCTTGCAAAATGAGGAATTACATGGTGTATCTTTGTATTCCCATGGACTTTGTATCTGAAAAATATTCATTACCGCGATGTTAGCAATTCAATACAATTTCATTCGTGAAATTTTTTTTAAATTCCCAACATATTGCCATAACACTGTGTGCTTAGTGTTTGTCCCAGAGCTTGTGAAAAAATTCACAAGCTGACTCGGATGGGACTCGAACCCACGACCTCCTGCTTACTTGTGCAGATGGCTGGCAGGTCCAAGTCAGATGTAGCAGTGGGTACCGCAAACAGTTTCCAGAGGTGTACTTTGGAAGATACGTTGGCGTAAGGGCACAAATTAGCATCATCCCAACAAAGTACATCTTTGGAAATTTGGTTCTGTCTATGAGATTCCAGTTTTGTAGTCACCCTCTGGCACGTCTCGTGTTGAAGCAGTGAATGAAAAAGTCTGTTGAGTACACTTCTGATATGGATTCGTTCCAGGCCGTCGAGAAAGTGATGAAATGTAATAACAGACTTCACAGGAGTTTCGTGGCACTACTCACGGGAAAGGGCACACTGCATGTGGGCACCGGTTTGCACATGTTGGCGGGATTAAGTTTCGGTTGAATATTTGTGTCAGGCATATTTATTGAGGGCAGAACTGGATATTCACATCTTCATCCTCTGTTTTGGTTTTCCAACTCAGCGTCCCGGGGCCTTTGCCGTGTACCTGGAGCCCTGGCACGCCGACATCTTCGATTTCCTGGACTGCAAGAAGAACCACGGCAAGGAAGAGCAGCGGGCCCGTGACCTCTTCTACGCCCTGTGGATACCAGACCTGTTCATGAGGCGCATTGAGAACGACCAGGACTGGTGCCTGATGTGCCCCAACGAGAGCCCAGGGTTGTCCGAGTGCTGGGGCAAGGAGTTTGACAAACTCTACGAACAGTGAGTCTATGTAGACCATGAATCATAAAAGGCATATACGGTACAATACCGCTTAAACAACCCTGACGGGATCCATGCACAATGTCCGGTGTCGGGGATAAATTTACAGGCTGTCCTTGGTCGTCCGGAGTAGTGACTATGGCAGTCTGCCAGTTGGTAACACCAGACAACTTCTTTTCTGCAAAATGGCATTAAACGTCAATGAAAAGTCATGGATTTTGGTTTGTGGATTTGTGTGAGAACCTTTAGACTGGCACCCTTATAGATGTCGGTATAACATCAAACTACTTCATGATTGGAATTGACAAGATTCTGATACAGTAAAGTTTCTTTGTAGATGTTTAGATGATAGATGTTTCAAATTGTCTCTGTGTTTGTGTTCCTGTTTGCAACATCTTGCTTTCCACAGAATTTGAAAACGTTAACGGTTCACTGTTTCCCATCCCAGATACGAGAGCGAAGGAAGGTACCGCAAGAAGATCAGGGCCCAGTACCTCTGGCAGGCCATCATACAGGCTCAAACGGAGACTGGTACCCCGTACATGCTGTACAAAGATGCCTGTAACGGCAAGAGTAACCAGCAGAACCTGGGCACCATCAAGTGCAGTAACCTGTGCACGGAGATCATAGAATACTCCAGCCCAGATGAGGTGCGTACATGTACATTGAAGGCCGGTCGACACTTGTCACTAAAGGAATACACAGAAGTGCAGATCTGTGACGTTAAAATGAATATTCGCAAAATGTTCAACGCGTGCAACTCAAAGTGAATTTTGCTGCAAATGTTTTGTGATGTTAAAGTTGCCTCACTTCCGCATTCAGTAGGTATGGACAGGCCTCAATGCTTT